TATATTTCAACAAGACAAACCACACTGAGAAGTACTGAAAATTATAGAACATTTATTGCATACAAAAGTTTTTTTTTTGTATAACACCACACATTATAAAAAAGTGTTTGAATATACCTCCGTAAATCATAAGAACAGCAAGTCTAGTAATGTATGAAAAGTAAAAGTTACCCATCCCTCCCTTTAGCAGTCAAACAATAATCAGCAGTTATGTTAGATGATCATCAGACTGTCACAAAAGGAGGGGCGCTGTAATAAAAGGCCCGTTCGACCCTCGAGTAGGTGGTCCCTGACGTAGCTGCTTGATGCGATCTTGGTTTTGTGTACAAGGTCCCGGTTAGGATTTATGCTCTTTAACCTTCCTGTTCCAACAGCTTCTGTTGCGTCAACATTACAATCTCCTCCATCACTTCTGGTTTCAAGATGTCCTTGACCTACAGAGACAGCGAAGAATTACAGATCTCTTACACCAAACACACGGTTTCAGACATCACAAACATTGTATAGATCCTGGTTAACAATATGTACACACCTATGGCTCTATCAACAAAATTTGACAAATAATCAAGACTAAAAACAAACAAAATAATTATCTATAATTCACATTTGTGAATGCAGCAATTCTACTTTAGCATTAATAGTAAATACATTTAGTTTTGTTTTTTTGTGGTTAGGTTATTAGTAAGGGACAAAAAAACCTTTCAAACTAAGGTCTATATCAACAATGAAGTGTGCCACGTGTTCACAACCATGTGGTGATAGCACATGAACTAACATGCTGATAGTATCCTGAAAAGGCAATGAAATCAACCATGTCTGTTTTAGCACATCAGAGTCAAAGTTGAGTACTGATAACAATTGTTGCTGTAGATTTCCAATATGGCCACCAGATGGCACAATACATCATGGAAAAGTCCACTTTTTTATTTCAATATGTTTTCATTTCCGTTGCTTTACATTTGTGAGGCAGTGGGTGAAATGAAAAAACAATCACATGCTACTTAAAACTGAAATAAGTGACTACAGTGCATCACATTTAATCTTATTGCTTCCTACCTGGTGATGAACTGAAACTTCATAGCAATAGAGAACACTGGTGTCATACAAAAGGACCTTGTGTGCAGCCAAAGCCAGCAGGCAATTTCTCAACCGTGAGATCACCTCTCGATCTGACAGACTGACAGGCTGAAAGGGCAGAGAAAAGAGATGCACAAACAAATAAGTTCAACATAGACACAAGAATACAATTTGGATGCAGTAGATTTAAATTGATTAAAGGGACTCCTCTTTGCACATTACTTGCAGATTCCCCAGTAAGTGTATCTAAACAAGATTAGGTGCATTTCTCAAACAAAATGTGGATACCAGTATTTTTTATAATATTTCTATTCCCACCTCCAAACTTCAGTTAACTTCTTAATTTAAATCCAAGAGTGTATGCAGCGATATAACGACTGATAAAACTATGATATACTGCTCTTTGTGAGTTGTGTTCCCACCTCCAGGCTGGTGTAAAAGCCCCCAGCCTCTTCCTCCTGCTGTTCCGGTGTGGGATACAACCACACAAAGCCGTTATTCCCGAGGATGATAGATGCACCGCATGGCAGGTTGTGGAAATGTGTTTTCTGCCTCTTGATGAGAGAAGGAGAAAGCTGCACCAGCACTCCTTGGCCCAACTGATGGTCAGAGAAAGTAAAAGAACCGTATTAGTTTCTAGACTAGTGGCTATGTTGAAAATTACAGATATGTAGCACTGATTATATCCCCAAAATGAACCATTATTTGAAGGTATCATTATAGCTATACTCTGTATATATACACTGGCATAACTTACTTTTCCATACTTTAAACTACGGGTGTGAAGTGATAGGGCTCCATCTGAGAAGACAGACTGCACCTCTGCCTAAAAGTACAGGAAAAGACCAACAAGAACATCGTAAGTGAGAGTAAAAAGATGGAGCAGCCAATGGCAGATTATAATAAACTGAGTTACACTGATGAGATCGCCCTCCTGAAGGTATTCTCTCATGGTGAGCTCATCTTCTGCTGATCGTCTCCTCTGAAAGAGAAAATCAAACAAACGTTTTAATAACAACAATAACTAAAAGTGAGCTTTTAACAAACTTCCCAGTTCAAGCCCATTTCCCCTCTCCTTCATGATGGTGCTAAGAACACAGAACGAGCATCTCACCAGCTCTCCTCCCGGCAGATTGACAGAAGACAGCAAAAGAACGGAGTCCAGTCTGGAGTTTGTTTCCACCTTCCACCGTTTCTGTTGTACCTGCACATATCACAAAGATAAAAACATCCACGTGTTGAACTGATATCTTACTAGCCAAAATGACATCGGCTTCTTGTACCTTGTATTTTTAGGACACATTATACGAACATCACATATGAGAAGATGTGTTGGCAGAGCCTTACCTCTGTGATTCTGCCAACCACCACATCTCCAACTTCACCGTTGAACCTGCAATTCAATAAAGTACAACATTATAATTACATAACTTCTGCAAAGGTAGCAGTACATAAACCAATTCAAATCTGTGCATACGTCAGTACCAGTAGGCCCACTTGACTTTTTAAACTGAAGATGTCTCAGTTGAATCACTTACCTTGTCTTAAGCGGTCTGACACAGATCAGTTTGTCCACTCTCTGTACTTCTCCGGCGACTGAAGCCGTCAGCTTGTCTTCATCAACATAGGTACCATGACCCCTGGAGATAAATGATAATCAATGATAATGAGAAATACAACTACTACAGGAATGTGGTAAAGAAAAAAGCTGGGTTAACTATGAGCTACCAGATAGTGCTTAAAGACAACACGAAAGTGTCACAAAGCACTGACCACTGTTAATGGGAGATCAGACAGGCTACAGCTAAAAATATTATTATGGTCTAGATTACAAGCAGCACAAACTTCCTTCTTTTGAAATCAGCTACCATTTTTTAGGGGGTGTCACTTCAAATCCACATTATGGTAGATTCCCCAGTGTTTTTTTTTTTTTTGTTTTACTGGGAGTCAAGCCTGACCTAGCTTTAAAAGGGATCACTACAAAAAAACAGTACCAAAGATCATCACGCTGCTCTCGCTTTCCCACTATGACAACATGGTGTGTCCACCACAGGCAGCAGCCGGTCACCAGTGGACCGACCAGTACCTACCTCATGAAACCAGTGTCTGAAGTGATAACATCGCCGGGCACCACCAGATCCTTTCGGTCGAAAGCAGAGCCTGATAGGGACACTGGTTTTCTAATAGTTGGTAATCTCATGTCAGCAGCCATGCTTCTTCTTTTTTTTTTGCTTCTTCTTCTTCTTCTTGCCTCCCTGGCAGTTGACACCAGCTATACGTTGTTTTACCGCCACCTACTGAAGCACGAGTCTTTGTCTAAATAATGTTACTAACTTAGTAGTTTCAACATAACTTAATAAGTCCAGAACGTGTAAGAAATGGAAAATAAAGTATATATGTAATATCTATCAGCCACCTTGCTACGCTTGCTAAACTAGAAACAAAATTCTTCTTCCTTTTCCTGTCTTCTAACCTCATTACCGCCACCTACAGTTCCGAAGGGTGTACTACAGATTACAGTGTGTTAACTATTCAGTATTTCTCTTTTAAAGTAAAGAAAAATGAAAAGAAGTAAGTAAAGAAGTAAAGAAAAACACTTACTTATACCTAGTACCGTACGGAATCGTTAATTTCTGCCTTAAACTCTCTTGATTTCAAAATGAAAATGAAAATGAAAAATGAAATGAATGAGAGCATGGTTGAACCATTGACTGTATATATATTGAACACCTTCTCCTGACAGGGTTCACACATGTCTCAGTCTAATTCTTATAACAATTACCCCATATTTCTCTTAACCCTAACAGGAGTGTGTTTTTTTAAAAATAAGAAGTTTATATATGAACTCCATAATTTCAGCTATATACCCAGAATATTATAATTTTGCCACACTATTTTAATACTATACTAATACTGCATTTATTGTTGGTTTATTTATATTTAAGATTAAATTGAATTGATCCATAGCAGTCCGTGTCAACGTGTTTTGCACAGGTTAACAATATAACAGGTTAAACCATGTAGACAGGCACACAAACACACATATTTAAGTTGATTTAGAAATAAAATAACAAATATATACACATTTAAGTTGATAATGTACGCATGGAGGAGTCCTCATTCAGTGCAGTGGTTGTATTTCTAGTATAGAAAGCGGTCCACTTCATAGTCTTCATAGTCCTCTTGAACTGAAATCATTAAATGAACTAATGAGAGACAGATTGCAGCCTTATAATTGAAGTCACATTGCACAGCTTGTAGTTCAGTACACTGTGATGGTGACCGTGGATATGAGCTTCCCTTCACACTTTCTTCACACTTCACACAACAAGACTCAAAAATCATTTCTTCCCCTCTGCAATCAGACTCCTGAACAGTTGACAGGAGTCACATCAATGTACCACCTCGTCACCCTTACAGCCCTGTACTTCGTGCACAACTGGCGCTCTCTATCGAAACCTCACCTTGCCCATCACTCTCAGGCACAGTGCTCAATCGGAGCCACCACTGCGCACATTGGACACCCTTAAACAAAATGACTGAATATCTTGTTCTTTATTTTTAATCATTTTTACTTACTGCTACTTATGCGCGCTAAACTTGTCCTGTTACTATTCTATTATCGGCTAATACTGTGTGTTTTTTGTTACTTATTGTATTCTACTATTGTACTGTGCGTCGGTATCAGCGTGGACAGCAAAGAAAGCATTTCACTGCACACAGGAAACTCGCTTTCTTTTGTTGCCTATGACAATAAACATCGTTGAACTTGAACCCTGCACCGTTTCTTGTCGCCACCAGGTGTCACCCTCCAGCCGCGTCGCCGTCAACGGAAACCGGTTCGAACGATGTTTTCGCGTAACGGAGACGTGACGTCAGATGTCAACACCACGCAAACGTCTCCGCCGTCGCCAATCAGCTTCGAGTCGGAGCGACTCTTGTAAAGATGGCGACGTCGAGGCACAGAGGAGTACAACCTGGACGCTTCGCCGCTATTAAACGCCGCTGGTCCAGACACCGTGACAATTGACACGGCGGCGGGAGCGAGAGTTAATCGACCGGTTTGTCCGCGGCGGTGCGCTGTTTGGTGCTGCGTGGTGTCTCTGCGGGCCTGGTTGCTTTTGTTTTCGGTTAGTCGTTGCCTTGGACAGCTCATTAGCTTCAAGTTGGAAAGCCAATGCTAGCCCACGGTTAGCTGTGTATCCCCATCGGCTGCTGGGATCTTTCTCTACGGCATTCGTGGACCGATAGCCCGACCAGTGTGAGCGCTGGACTGCGGGTACACACTTAAAGTTGTCTCTCTTTTTTTTTTCTTTTTCTTTTTCGGAAACAGCACCCATGACTCAGTTGGATTAAAAAAAGACTTTTAAGGAGGAACAAGGGACACCGACGGTCTGGCATTGCGACACAGTTTGGAGTGAGTTTGCCGTCATGTATTTTCTAACCGGCTGGCCCCGGAGGCTGCTTTGTCCGCTCAGGAGTGAAGAAGAGCCCTTCCACATCCAGCCCAGCTCCCAGAGGTTTTACTTCGCCGTGCTGTCGGAGACTCAGCTCAGCGTTTGGTTCAGTCGGGTAAGTTGAGTTTAACCTGCAGCTTCGGTCCGGTCCCGCTCGCGAACTCAGCTGCACGGACAAAAACAATGCGCGCAGTGAGTGCTACGGTCATCTTAGCTTACGTGAAGCACGCTTGCACACAGTGCACCTGAGTACTTCACCGTCTGCCACCGCCGTCCTTTATTTTCTAACACAATATGCGCTGCTGCGTGGCAGTCTGGCCGCCTGCCCTGTGTTTTTATCGAAAGGATCATCGCTAAACAGAGAGAGCAACGGGGGTGTTAGTGATGAGCGAGCTTTGGTGTGCTCACACGGTGCCACCTATACACTTACATAGACGACAGGTGACATTGTTGCGCATCACAACGGCTTGAGTATATCCGCATACGTGTGATGCGTATGAAGGCATAGTAGTACAATTCATCATCACGTTGCATCCCTCATTTACTCCCTCGTTCATGACCTGGTGGCTGTTCACCCTCCCAGCTCACCTGATGAATGCTGTGTGTCAGGCACAGGTCGGTTTCCCCTTGTGGGAAGTGTAAACTGGTTGAGTTTCTCGGGTACATTCAGTACTTTTTTTTTGGTGACATTTTCTATTTTTTGCAAGGGTTTAAAGTTTAAAGTTGTTATCAGCATGGGCTTTCCAATTGTGTTCATAACAAATAGTCACTCACCGCATGTTGTTGTGGTGTTCTTTCAGGCAGCAACTCAACTTGAACTCAATATCTTTTAGGCTGCCAGAGTTAAATTATTAATGTGAAGCAATCATGCCAACACATCATTTGCTCCCTTTAATTTGGAGTTTGTCCTCCACAGCGGCATAACAGAGAAAACAATATTTAATAGTGGTTTGGAAATAATGTTGCTCCTAAGTGACATTCTGTATACTGATGGGTTATATTTTCTCTAAATAGCCTCTGTGTAATTGAAGGCCAGTGTGGACTTGCTCTCGCTTCCTTTGTATCTATTATGGTCTTTATAACAAGAGGAGAGGTTTTTACAGGTAATCTAAAGCCAAGACATTTATCAGCAGAATGTAAGTCATGAATTTAACTGATATGACTTCACAATAAAAAGGCCCCTATGCTGAAACCAGTTCCCTCACTAAATCTTAAACCCTTTTAAGCACCGCCATGTCCCAAACTGCTGGCTAAATTAATTACAGTATGGCCCCTAAAGTTGCTTGTGTAGAGCCAAGAGACCACCAGTCATCTGTGCTAGCTCAGAATCATTGTGTGATCAGTAAGGTGACGTTCACGGTCTGACTTGGGAGGAAAAACGACTCAAATAAAAAGCTGTAAGGGGTTTGTCGAAGAGAGAAATGCTCTTGCAAATAACATTTTTAAGATGATCATATTTTCCATAACAACGGAGCAAAACAAGTTGACATACACGATAAAAAGTACCCTATAGTGACGACAAATACGAATACACACAAAACGTGGAACAGTCCAGTGCAATTTAGACTTTTTGCAGATGAGATGTTATTATCACCATTGTCTGTATTTATTCATTTGCTCACAAGAATTTTTTTTAACTTCCAGACAGATCATTTTGTCCTGCCATTTATAACCACGGACCTCTTGTACCTAAGTCAAGTAAAAGTAAAAATCTTGTGTAAATGCAGAATGCCTCATGAAATGTTTGGTGGTTCCCCATTCAGCACTGCATCTAGAGCCAGCACCAGCAGCTGAGCAGCATCCTGTGCTGTGAAATACATACTCCTGTCCGAATTTTTATTATTTTGAATACATCAGATTTAGCCGTGCTGATACGTAGAGGAGCTGTTTGCTTTGATAACCTGCCGCTGAGGACCTAGTTTACAAATGCCTGTGTTCCACTCCGCTCGTGTATTATTGAGTCGAAGCAACAATGGATCAGGGTCACTGTTGATTTCCTGAGGCCCGCAGAGGATGTGACCATGTTTTCCTTCCCCTCTTTCTTAAGACGTTAGCCTGCCGGAGTATCAATGAGGCGTCCAGGAAACGCATCGTGTCAGGAATGTCGATTGGAGCAACTTCTTCCTCTTGACATGCAACTTTCACATCTGTTACATCCATCGTGTCATTTCAGTTTAATATCCAGCCCAACGGGGATGTAGTGCAGGGTTTTGTTTACGCCATTTTATAAAGTACTTTATTTTTTAAACAAGTTTAAATACATTTGTTAAAGTAAACAAATATGAAAAATATATCAATATGATATTAAGATAAGATATTCCTTTAATAGTGCCACAATGGGGAAAGTCCAATAAAAAAGGATTGTGATATAAAATTAGATTTAGCATCAGTAATGGGTTAGTTGATTTGACTGTTGTAGCTTATGTTGTAGCTAGCTGTTATTAAAGTCTCATGAAGTCTCTTGAAGTTAGACAGAGTATTTTTGTGACATTTCTTAAAACTGTTGCATGTTGCTCTTGTTGTTTGGTAAATTAAGGTGATTGGAAATCTGCCATTTCCCCTCCCAGATTGGGATTGCGTTTAGCCGTCGTTTTACTACCAGGTCC